AGTCCGCCCAGCTGCTATTCAGCCTATATTACCCAGGTTAGCGACGAGCTCGTACGACGACGGGCCGAAGGAAAGAGAGAGGGGGATCAACACTCATGTACATACGTACGTGGTGATATACCATGCGATACGAAATATGTCGGGAGAAGCGGAATACAGTAAGCAGTAACAAATGTTGTACGTAGGTCGTTGTACAACAGGTAGGTCGGTGAACATAAATACATGCACCACCACTACCGCGACCCCCATCGCCATCTCATCCCAAAAACTCCACACCTATCCGCACAAGCCGCCCATCCCGAACCGACCATGAAGTTCACCGCCATCCTAACCGCCCTGTGCGCAAGCACCGCCTTCGCCATCGACATTTTCCAAGCCGACGGCTCCATCAAAGCGATGGCAGAAGGCGATCTGCTACCACGCCAGATCCCAGGGTGCTGCTCCACCAACTTCAATGGGCCTTGTGTTTGCCCACCTGCACCTTGTACTAGCTGTGGTGTACGTATTTCCTACTCGACTCAAGATGAAGGAGACGAAGAAGAAGATGGAACTAGAGAGCCCTGGAGGGGATGAATGAGAGCGATACGTCGGGTCGATCATGGGACGCTTTGCTAACGTGTCTGGGTGTAGCTTGAGTGCTGCGGCTTTTAGAGAGGTGCGATAGTCCGCCATGACCGGGCACTTCTGGAAAGGAGGGATTCTTCGAGAAGAGACGTATGAGAAAACGTCCAAGGGGGAAGAGAGGCAAAGACATGACGATAGAGAGAGAAAGAGAGGGGGGATCAAGGGCGTAATAGCCTGATGTCAGCACGAACTCGAACATCTACGCTAATGTCTATATTAGGTAGCGTGCAAGTACAAATTTCAACATTTCGAAGTTTATAAGTGCCATGAAGAGTGAAGTAAATAGCTACTAGACGCAATAACAGCTGACACGGACAGAACTACGACAGACATGGCTTCTCGTATCACTGCCCACTGACCGCCAACCCAGATCACCTTGGGCCACAGCTACGGGTAAATATCGGGACTCTCCTCCAGCCTCAGATTTCCCAGTTACCAGGTCCGACAATACACACATGGCAGTGGTTTCTGCACACTACAACCAGCAACAACACCAACATCAACAATAATACCATCACACGGCACTACCATCCCATCCCATCCCACCCTACCGTCCCAGCTCACCGCATCGCACCGCACCAAAAGTCGCAATGTGAAGCCCAGCGGCGCCAAGATGTGATTCAGCCCTCCAGCCTCCCACCTACATAGTCCTGCAAATCACAACAAGAACGGATTGGGACCCGAACCACATTGGAGAGGTCAAGGCAATACACCAAAGGTGGTGACATAACACCAATCCATACACCGAACACTCCACCAAGGACAAGGCCCTTCAGACTTATCTTCTACATCTCATGTACAGCCTCGTCGCTCGTGCCAGAATTGCGACGTGCAAGGCTACCTGAGTAGGTCGGACTGAGCGACCGAGAAACAACCGTAGGAGCAATGCACAGGACAGGGAAGAAAGGCGGTGAATGTTCATGCGACAAACCGCTACCAAAAGCCGTCAAGTGGCGACCAGATACCCGAAACGAGGCAACCATCACTGGTCTGGTCAATCCATCACGCCACTAAAAATCCTACTCCAACGGCGCGAAACCTAATACGCGTATGTACAACATCATCGTCACCATATCCTCCCATCCTCCCGCCCACCCAAAACGCTCCCTCCCTCATCACTGTCCTGCATTCCCATGCTCGGGTATGCCGGCGCATCTAACTGCCGTTGACTGCTGCAGGTCATTGTACGGCTCTTGCGCCCGCAGTAAGGATACCCACATGTAAGCAGTAGAGACGACAGAGGTGGTGATGTGCGGTTTTGCCCAGGTGCTAGACGTGGCTATTCAGCCTATATACCTAGGTACGGACTAACCTTGGAGACCAGACGCGAACGGGCCGAAACGATGGGGGTGGTGTGCGGAAATGGGCCGGCTTGTGTGTGCGTGGGTGAGGTGATGAGGTGAGGTGATGGGAAGGGAAGAAAAGGGAAGCTGGAGGTGCGCAAGGTATGTGTGTGGTGTTGAGGTAGAGGGAAGGTGGAGATGTTTGGGAATACATGTAGTATACATGCTTATTTCCACACCACCAACCACATTCCCACATCCCCAATCCAACCAACAATAACCCAGCACATCTACCCACCCGGCCAACATGCATCTCACAGCCCTCCTCACCGCCTTTGGCGTGAGCACCGCGTTCGCAAAGCACATCCCCCAACTCGACGGCTCTGTCAAGATTGTACCAGATACGCAGCTTGATGCACGCCAGTTTATCCCGGATTGCTGCTCGAATAATTTCGCTCCGCCTTGTGGGTGTGGGAGGGCGTATGAGTATGCTTGTGATGTATATTTTGTTGTGAAATGAATGAAATGATGGATTGGGTGTAGTCTTCTTGCTGAAATCTTTGAGGAGGGGAGAAAGGATGGGGAGGAGTATATTGGGGTTGTGTATGATATCTTATGGGCAAAAACTTGGGATATGTTTGTAATCTATCCGCCTTGGCCTGAAAGAACGAATTCGAAAAGTTCAATATCAACGTCTGCTTTTCATAACCATCTTCACCGGATACCTAGTTCAACACCCCGTAGCTAGCTGTGATCCACATCCACATACACTAACACTAACAATCACAACAGCAACAACGACAAAGGCACAAGCGGCCATCTCCGACCCCATCCCCTCACCGCAGTATCACTTCATTCATGGTGTGATGCCCAGTACCGCCTAGATGTGATTCAGCCCTTTAGTCTGCAAACCCCAACCCAGCCGGGCCGAAATGCAAGGGGCAAGTCTCCACAGAATGCGTACGCAGTGTCTGTGATGCAACGGACGAAAAACAAACAAGGCTGGATCAGTGGAGATGTGGATATATGAAAGGTACGTGTTTGGGTAGAGATGGACGGCTGGGGTGGGAGATGGGGGATGGGGTGTGTGGGTATAAGTAGCTAGGTATAGCATGACCACTCTCACATCTATACATCCACCTAAACAACGCCGATAATAACAACAATAATAACACATCCGCATAACGACCCACTCCTTATCTCAACAACCATGAAGCTCACCGCCCTTCTCACCTTCCTCTGCGCATCCACCACGCTCGCCGCCACGAACTACGTCCTGCAAGTCGACGGCAGCATCAAAGCCTACGACGTCGTAGAAGGCGACCTACAAGCCCGCCAGCAGTTCGAGAGCTGCTGCGCCACCAAATTCGTGCCGCCGTGCGGCTGTGGTACCGACTGTCCTAGCTGCGGTGTAAGTACCCTACCTACTCTAGAGAAGAAGAAGAAGGACATTGCTAACAGTGTTGTGTAGGTCAGTTGCTGTCTGTAAAAGGGTAGTGATGGTTTGGATACGCAGATACGGGTAGATGGGTCAGCGCAGAAGTGATTGGGTAGACGTGTTTGGAAGAATGAATGCATAATGTACAAATGTTTATACCAATTTGAAGTCGGTCCAACGGTCTTCCCACGTTGCCCAGAGATGAAAACGCCAGTATACGTGAAACAATTTCCCAACGCCCTCGCTATGCAGTCAAGAAAACAAACATCATCTTTTTTGTCTCAGTTCCTTCCATCCCATCCATGGTACTGCGATGACGCAGAGCGAGACGAGCCACTCATGACACGCGAAATACATAACCACCACATACGCAAAAGGTACTCCTCATCATCAAATGAGAGGAATCGCAATTTTCAGTCTCGTTTACTTTCTCATGCCGGAGAAGTCCTTCAGGATGCCAATCATGTGGGTATTGGTCTGCTTGCCACCACGACGAGGACCCTTCTTCTTCTTGTTGGTAGGGGCAGCGACAATAACCTTGGCTTGCGTAGCGGCAGTCAGCTTGTTGGCTAGAAGGGCCTTGCGCAGCTCATCCGGGTTATCGGGGACCTGGACCGAGTGCCATGCCTTTGCAAAGACGGGGTCCATGGGCAGCATGAGAGAAGGGTCGTTGCCCCAGACAGTCTTTGGCACGCCATCCTTGGCGCGTCGCACGAGCACCTCCTTCTTGTTCTCCATCTTGGTGATGTCGTCGGCGACGGTGGACCAGCCGTCTTTCAGGTCTTTGATCTGCAGTCCCATGGCCGACTTCTGCGTCTGGAAATGGCCTTTGAGCTGCGCGCGGTCGTGGATGCTGAGCTTGCTCTTGTATTTGTAGCGTTCGTTCGTAGAGTCCCAGCTGATCCTGTTGCCGGCGTTGTCGGCGCGCATCAGCTGGCGCAGCTGTTCGCGCTGGATGTGGCCTGGTGGGATGTTGAGGTATTCCATGATGTCGTCGAAGGTGTGCCATTTTTCTTTGCGCTCGCGCAGGAAGTCGTTGACGTAGGTGAGGCGGGTGAAGACGTGCTCGCCGGTGCCTGTGTCCTGCGGCTGCGAGTAGACTACGGGGGGCGCTCCATCGGTAGGACGCTTGCGCTTGCCGCTGGCGGAGGAGCTCGAGGGTGTGGGTGAGGGGGCATTCATGCCTGTGGCCGAGTTCGCTTTGAGGAAGGACATGGTGGTTGTAGTGGTAGTGGTAGAAGTTGAAGATGCGGTCGGGGGTGGCTGTTGCCTGGTCGAGGATGCCTGCTGTCGGCAGTCGAGTGTGCAGCGTCTAGCTAAAGAGTCGCACGGCAGACAACGGGGAAGGTCCGGTAGTAGTGAGCGTGGATGCGCGGAAGGTGCGGCGGGTGAAGGTGAAGGTAGTGAATGGAAGGTGCCGAGTGAAGGCGTCGGAGAAAGACGCATGTGTGCTATGACCTCAACCTTGGGAGGCAGCCGCGCTAGTGGTTGGCCCCTGCGCGACCGTCGTCAAACAACTGAACTCGCGACTTTGACCGCGGACCCGTTCATTGTTCGCGTCAACACCACCGCCCTCCTTTGTCTCTTTTCTCCCCGGGACCCACTCGACCGACCCGGAGAATGGTTCGAGGCCTGCAATAAACTAATACACCATCATGGCGGCATCCGTCGACGTCGGCTACCTGGCCGCGTCCTATTCCGTCCCCGAGACAACCCTACAGTCATTACTATCAGAGCCCACCGTCGAGCTCGTCCAGACACTCCTCACACAGATCGAGGCGAAGGCGCGCGCATACGATGACCTCCAATCGGAGAAGATCCGCACCGATGTCGAGCTCGAAGCCGCCATCCAGGGCGGAGAACAGCGCGCGCGCACCCTGAAGGCCACGGCAGAGAAGGCGCAGAAGGAGGCCGAGGAATTGAAGAAGAAGCTAGTCCAAGAGGGTACGAGATGCAGAAGCCATGCATGTCCAATTGATACTGACGCGTTTATAGAGAATGCACGGCAAGAGGCAGAGTCGACGCTGCACAACCTGCGCGCCACGGCCACCAGCTCAACGTCTGAGACGCAGGCGCTGGAGTCGCGCATCAAGACGCTCGAGTCCCAGAACCGCGACCTCATGGCCATGCACGAGACCAAGACGACCGCACACGACCGCCTCGCCAAGGAGCTCACCGAGCAACACCAGAAGTCTGTCGAGCTGCGCAAGCAGGTGTCGACGCTCGAGGAGAAGACGCAGTCGCTTGAGAGCGCGGCCACTAATGTCAAGTTCCGCGAGGCCAACCTGCAGCAGGAAATCGAGCAGCTGCGCAGCAACAACGACTGGTACACGACCGAACTCAAGACGCGCGCAGACGACCACAGCAAGTACCGGAAGGAGAAGAACGCCCAGATTGCCCAACTCCAGCGCGAGAACGCCGACGCCGCCGAGACCATCGACACCCTGAACCGCTCCGAGACGCTGTTGCGACAACACATCGAGGAGCTCAAGGGCAAGGCCGAAGAGGACCGTCTGCGCATCGAAGAGCTCGAGAATGCAGCATCAGCCGCCGAGGCCCACTTCCGCATCGAGCTCGACAGCGCGCGCCGCCTGTCGACGCTGCACCAGCAGAACAACGAGATGACCAAGAAGCGCTTGGAGCAGCTGCAGTCGGACAGCAGTCGCGTACAAGAGGAAGCCGCGACCGAGATTGGTCAGCTCATGGCCGAAGTCGAGGCGGAACGCGAAAGGGCTGCCGAGGCCGATGCGCGCACGGCGGAGCTGGAGACGCTCGTCGAGACCCTCAAGAGCGACAACTCCGAGCTTCGAAGCTCCGTCCGCGTACCTGGAACACCGCGACACGGCATGAGCATGAACGGTGGCTTCAGCACGCCCGGCCGAGCTGGTTCGCCTGCTGTCGTCTTCTCCCCGGGCGGATCGCAGCTCAAGACCGATGCCTCCAAGACTCAGCTACTGATCGAGAACAACGACCTCAAGAAAGAGCTTCGCAAGATCCGCGAGAAGTTGGAAGAGAACACAGGTGTCCTCAACGAGATGCTGCAGGAGCTGGAGCGTCACCAACCCGAGTTCGACGAACTTCGCCGACAGAACGATGCCCTGAACGAGCAGAACAACGAAATCAGCGCGCTTCTCGAAGAAGCCATTGCCGAACGCGAGGCAGCACAACGCGACTCGCGCAAGGCCCTGGGTGACTTGGAAGGCGTGCACAACGAATCTGCTCTACTGCGTCGCCAGGTACAGGACATGACGATCCAGCTACGCACATTGCTTTGGCGCCGCCAGGTTGAAGAGCAGGGTATGGGTAGCCTCACAGAGGAACAGCAAGAGTTCATCGTCAACGCTGTCGAGAATAACCAAGTACCGGACAAGCACGTACCAGACGACTCGCCTACACATCAGATGATCACGAAGCACCTTATCCTGTACAAGGATATTGCCACTCTCCAGCAACAGAACGCCGAACTGACGCGCACACTTCGACAAGTCGGCGACGAACAGGAGAGGCAAGAGGTCCGCATGAAGTCGGAGCAATATCAGCAAGATATCGAAGAGCTCGGCCGTCTACGCTCCGTGGTTGCTGAGAAGGAGGAAGAGATCAAGTCACTCAACGTTCGCTCACAAACCCTCAAGACCGAACGCGACATGTACAGCCGCATAGTTGGCGGTCGGGGTCAGTTGCCGTCTCACTCGCAGTCAACATCCGCTTTCGCACAGTCTGTACCCGCAGGCGGGGCTCCCCTGCTTCTCGAGAACGGCTCTTCATCCCGCGAGATCCCAGAGTACAGCAAGCTTATCAAGGACCTTCAATCACACATTGACCTGCTCAAGGAGGAGAGTGCCACGGACCGCACTACACTCAAGGCGCAGGTTGACAGTTTGACCAAGGACAACTCTCAGCTCCAGAGCGACAAACTCCGTTTCGAGTCGCAGGTTCGCCGAGAGCAAGACAGGTATGCTCGTCTTGAGGGCAGCATCAAACTGCTCCAATCCGAAAAGGACTCCCTCCAGGAACGCTACAACAAGGTCCAAGCCACCATGGCCCAACAGGACGACAGGCTTGTCAAGGCCACCCAGAACGCTGCGGAAGCTGAGGCACGTCTTCAGAGCTTGCAGGGCGAGATGGTGCAGCTCAAGGCATCTCGGGAAATGTCCGCGACCATTGAAGCACGTCTCAAGGAACGGAACCAGGAGTTGATGACCGAGCGCGATCGGTTGAGCCACATGGTGTCCTCGATTCAGAGTCTGCGCAACGAAGCTGAGTTGGCCACCGCGGAGAGCCGACGCGAGCTGCAGAACACGGTGGACAAGCTTCGGACAGATTTACAGAGCGCTGAAAGCAAGCTGGAAGACGAGATCGCCGAGCACAAGAGGGCCACCCAGCAACGAGACTACGAGCGAACCGAAATGCAACGACGGATCGACGACCTCATCGCCGCACGTAACAGTGCCGAGGTCAAGTCCGCGACCGCTGAAACGACACGCCACCAGTTGGAGCAACGCCTCAAGGAACTCCAGAGCCAACTCCAGTCATCAGAGGAGCGCATACAGGCTCTTCAGCCACGATCGCAGGCCAACGATGAGCAAGATCCTGTCAGTCGTGAGGAAGAGCTGGCGGAACAGGTTTCAGACCTCAAGCGCAAGATCGAGCGCAAGGAAGAGGATCTGGAGGCTGTTACTGCCCAGATTGCCGGCTTCCAAGATATCGCCCAGGATGCTGAGAATCGATTACAGACCTTCGTCGAGGCCCACGAACGACTCCAGGAGCAACTCAACCTTGCACAAGAAGAGAAGGATGCTACTATCCGCGACTTGCAACAGCGTATGGAAGACATATCTTCTGAGCTCGCTACAAGTAGCACCGAGCTTACTGAACTGAGAGGAAAGCATGAGCAAGACACGTTGGTCCTCAGACAGGAGAAGGAAACCTTGGAAGCAGAGATCACCCGACTCAACAACGATGTAGCCGACTACAAGGCTGAGGCCGAGAACCAAATGCAATACGTCAAGACCCAAGCCGACATCGCCGAGCGCGCCCAAAAGGATTACGAGCACGAGTTCCAGAAGCACGCCGAAAGCATGACGAAGCTCCGTGAGCTGCGCGATGAATACAACCAGCTTCAATCACAGATCACAGAGTTCAAGACGCAAGCAGAAGCTGCACGCACAACGCTGGAGCAGAGTCAAGAACACTGGAAGTCTACTGAGGGCCGCTATGAGGAGCAGCTTGCCGAAGCCAGACGCCGCCACGACGACTTGAAGCAATACAACCAGACCTTGCTCAAGCAGTTTGACGAATACAAAGAGCAAATCAACAGCTTGAAGAACGACCGCGGTGCATCGACTGGGGAGCCAAGCAGCACGGAGTCCGGCTCCAACAACCTCCAGGACATCGAGACCTATCTCCGCCGAGAGAAGGAGATTCTGGAGGTTCAGCTAAACCTGAAGGTGCAAGAGTCCAAGCGTCTCGAGCAGCAACTCACACACGCCCAAGGTCAGCTCGACCAGACGCGAGAGAAGCTACTGGAAGAGCAAGCCAAGGCCTCGGGTTCGCAGAGCAACTCCAGCCTTGCACATCTCAACAAGAACCTCGAAGAACTCAACGTCTATCGCGAGAGCAATGCGACGTTGCGCAGCGAAAACACTCGTCTCCAGGCCTCGTTTGCTGAGAAGGCCAAGGCGCTGGAGGATCTTCAGGCTGAGTTGGAGCCCTTGCAAGTTCGCGTAACTGAACTTGAGGGCGAGCTCGAGCTCAATGTGGGTCACCTCAAGGCTGTTGAGGAGGATCGCGACCGCTGGCAGAAGCGCCACCAGGATGTCCTACAGCGATACGATCGTATCGACCCCAAGGATCTCGAAGATCTCAAGCAACAGATCGAAGACCACAAGGTTGAGCGCGATCAGGCACTGGAGCAGGTAGCTGGCCTCAACGAACAGATCACAGCTCTCACAAGCGACGTACAAAAGGCGAATGCTGAGCGAGACAACATCAAGGCGGCCGAGAGAGAAAAGTTCCAAAAGACACATAATCAACGCATGTCAGAGAAGAGGGCTGAAATCACCGCACTCACTGCTCAGCTCAAGGAGGCGCAGGAATCAAGTACAAGCTTACAAGAGGAGGTCGACCGTATCCGCCAAGAGCTCACCAACGCACAAGCCACAAGTGCGAACGCCGGACAATCCCAGGAGCGAACGGCGGCACTTCAGAAGGAGTTGGAGCAGACCCGCGCACGACTGGCGACGACCCAGCAAGAGCTTAATGCTGCGAAGACTGCTCGCGACGAAGCCATTGCTCAGGCGAACACTTCTACCCAGGCAGCTGAGAATGCGGATGCGGGTGAGGAGGGTCAGATCAACGAGAACTCCGATGCTACGACACCCCAGCTGGCTCTTCTGCAGAAGCAGCTGGGTGAAGCTCAGCAAAAGGCTTCGAATGCCGAGAGCAGCCGATCTGCCATTGCAAGCCAACTGTCCGAGCTACAGGCGCAGCTGTCGACACTGGGCGAGCTCCAGAAGGAAGCTGTAAGTTCCAGTCACGTCCTTGCCAAATACCCTATACTAACGTTTCCGTAGGCTACCAAAGACACCACCATCGGCGAGCTTCGGAATCAGCTTTCACAGCAACAACCGTCATCGAACCCGGCTTCTGGCGAGCCCGCGACCGACTCCACCACGGCTGTGGAGACTGAAAAGCTCAAGGAAGAGCTCGCTGCGAAGGCCGCCGAAGTCGACGATTTGCGGGCTCAACTTGCTAGTGCGAAGTCTGCACAACAACCCGCAGAGGGTCAGACACAACCGGAAGCCTCGCACAACGATGAACAGATCACAGCCCTGAAGGCTTCACTCGACCAGCGAGAGGCCGAGCTGAACGAACTCGAAGCGTCGTTGAAAGCCCGTGAAGACACGATCACTAGGAGAGAAGGCGCCCTGGAAAAGATCAAGAACAAATACAATGAGTCTATCAAGAAGACCAAGGCCGAATCCAGCGAACAGGTCGAACGCTTGAAGGAGGCTCATCAAGCCGAGCTCGAGAGTCTACGACAAGAGAAGCAGGCCGCTGCCTCGACTCAAAACGCCCCCAGTGAAACAACCGAGACTCAACCTGTACCGGATGGCATGATTAACACACAAGATCTACCCCGACCTGCAGTCACGGACGACCAGCTCAGGAAGTGGTTCAAGACGAACAGCGGGGTGTTGGCGGTGGTGAAATCTCAGATTCAAATGAATCTCGAGAAGCAAACAGCTGCGAAGGATGAGAAGATCAAGCAGCTCAACGAACAGATCAAGCAGCTCAACACACAGATCGAACAGCTCAAGACTCAGAAGGCCATCGATGGCATTACGGGTGTGAAGCAGGAACCTGAACAACCGAAGGCGGCTGGTTCGGGCGAGGACCTGGCTACCGTCAACGCTGCTTGGGAGAAGAAGCTGAAGGAGAAGCTCGAGGAACTAGAAGCGAAGCTGACCAAGACACATGAACTGAAAGCGAAACTCAACGCTTCACAGTTGAAACTGTTCAGAACCAGGTTCAGCTACGTCGAGAAGGCTGCAAAGGAGACGCCGACTGAGGAGGTTGCAAAGGTGTACGCCGTTGCTCTAACTCAGAAGCCTGTGGAAGCCACCAAGCCTGCACAACCCGCCACACCCGCCAAGCCTGCTGCCGCACAAGCTGCACCGAATACATCAACACCAGCACAGCAACAGCCAGCAGCGCCTTCCGCGACCAACACGCCTCAAGCGAACGGCACCAACAACGCTACTCCTACTCAGGCCACCCAGCCCAACCCCTTCCTCCAAGCTGCCGGCCACGGCACAAACCCAAACCCATTCCAGCAAAACCAGAACCAAATGGGACGGGGACTACCGCAGCCAGGTTTCACAGTCCAAGGCCAAGCCCAGGCTCAACAGCCTCAAGCACAGCAGCAGCAGCAGCAATCCGGACGCACCGCAGGAACCGGGGTCCAAGCCCTCCGCGGCGCTCTCCAATCCAACATCCCCCGCGGTGGTGGTGGTGTTGGTGGAACCGGCATCCCCATGCCCGGCGGACGCGGACGAGGCCAGAACCAACCGCAGCAACAACAGCAGCAGCAAGGTCTGAACCAGCAACAACAGCAACAGCAGAATCAAGGTCCAGGTGCATCGCAAATCGGTCGCGGGGGTGGCCGAGGCGGTGGACGCGGTCGCGGCCAACAGAATCAGAATCAGGCTCAGAATCAGAGCTCGCCTGCGAGGGGTGGGCTTAATCCTGGTGCGCCGGGTTTCCAACCTGGACAAGCTGGTCAGGCTGGACGGGGACAGAAGCGTGGGGCGGAGGATGATAGTGAAGGTGCGACGAGGGGAGGGAAGAAGCCGAGGGGTGGAAGGGGTGGTGGTAATGGAGGGGGGCAGGGTGGCGCTGAGTAGAGAATGTCATGAGTCGGACATTTTGAGGGATGGAATGGGATGGGGATGCGAGCATATTTTCTTTCTCTTTTGTTCAATGTTTTCAGAGTTTCACGTTCATGGTTATCTTTTCCGAGGGATGAAGGATGTGTCATCAAAATGAGGTATTTAGCGGTTGCAACTCTGGGATGAGTTTGCGGATTTCTTTCCGAAGATGGATGGAAAGGGCATGTGTGGTTGTACTATAGCATTTATATGGTGTTCATGGGAAATTGAGATTTATGCGCGTTTTAGACTTGTAAGACTTCGTGGGCTGTGTTGTGATGTGCTGATTGACGTGGATGGTATGTGAGTCGAGGACTAGAGACTCTGCAAGTGATGACATTGGGTGGGTGGGGGAGGCGGAGGGGAGGCGGAGGGGAGGTGGAGGGGTAGAGGTGGAGGTCTCGCGACAGTCTTCCAGGGTTTGATCTCGCACTAAAGAAAGATATGCTCCTTTAATACAGAGAGTAGCCTAGTCTTTGTTTCAGCGCCTGTTGTTAAACTTGTACCTTGCTCTGCAGAATAGGTGAACTAAGGCTTTAATAGTCTTTCCTTTTGACTCCCGAGGTATCCGTCCCCGTCAAGCTTCACCAATTCCTTCAACCCGTCTAGAGCTACGCCCAATACATTGCTCTTGATTTCCCGTCTTCTTACAACTTCCGCGTGGGTGTGCATGGCACCACTGTCACCTAGGCAGTTCAATCTGTTTTACCGGCTAACGCTACGTCATCCTCCCCATCTTCAACGCCGATCTTGTAAAAGCAACCCACCAACACCCCGCGGGATTACCTCCGCATTCATCCCCACGTGTGCATCGTCCCCCGATCACGCGACAAAACCTGTCAACCCCAGAATCGCAACCCATGCCAAGTACAGCCTTCTCCAGATAAGCTTCTCGAGCGCTAGTGGTGCCCTCTTTGACGTCGCTTTACTCGCTGCACGTATGGGAACCAAGAGGCTAAGGTTACCCAAGGCTTGAGATCTGCCTGGATGGAAAGCTTGGATGGAAAGAGCCTGGTAGATAGGAGGATGGGATGTGAGTGGGTGCCTCGGTAGGTGCGTAGTTAGAATGCGACCTAATGGGGACGGGTGAAGCCGGGGTCTAGAGAAGTGTGGGTGATCTTCGGAGAAGAAATTGTGGGTTACGTAGGGTGATGGGATGGGATCTGCGTTGAGCGGGATGGGGGTTGTGGATATATGGGGTGGCTTGCGTCTCGGGGTCTTCTAGAACAATTCGTTGACTACAGTTTTAGACATACCTAAGTACTTGGAGACACGCGACCAAAGATTCCTGGGTATACATAACGGGACATAACAAGCATCAACAAACGAAACAACGGCACACAACACTTGGTTCTCAATTTTACCGGCACATGCATATCTCTGATTAGGACGCAATCTCCCACGATGTCACCACATTCAACAGAAGACCCGTGTATCCCCTATGGCCGCGGCGGAGCAGGAAACATGCGTACGCCATCCCCTCCCATCCTCCACATCTTCCCATCCCTCATAGCCTAACTAACCCACCTCAGACCGTCGTTCCTCCATAGCGCACACCTGGGCCAATATCCTCTCTTCCTCGTCCTCCAACAACAAACTCGTCCTCACATCAAGTCCGGAAGACCACTACGCCGCGTCGAAAACAGAACGAAGGCGTCATTCAAGTTCGAGGTCGGAAGGATGCAGGAAGAGTAGTGTAGAGGGGAGGAGGAGGGCGAGTAGTCTTTGGAGTAGGGAGACGGATAAGAGTGGGGAGCATGGGTTTGGGTCAAGATGGGGGAGGTTGTTTAGACGGGGAAGGAAGGAAGAGCACTGTACGGATGGAGAGAAGATATGATGGATTTTTTTGTTTGAGCAACGCGATATACACAATTTGTCTTCTCCATCTCTTTATGTGTTTGCCTCTTATCTTCTTATTCGTACCCGCGAGAATGATACCAATTTGTTCATTTATACACAAAACATCCCCTTTCCAACTCCTTCTCATCCAGTCTATTCTCCTCCTCGCTTACCACATCTTTCCCCTCATCCTCCTGCACTTCTTCTACAAACACAACAACATCTCTCTTATCTCTAAGCCGTCTACCCATGTGTCCTCGACCGCGACCGCGACCTCGCGCGCGTATCCAAGTGACCCGTAACCTTGCGCAACCCCGGGATAAGACCCGAAAGCCCCTTGTGATTCCGCATGCTAGACCTGATTTATGATTAACTCGATAGGAGTCGTCGGTGTAGGGAGTGACTGTGTACTCTGGTTCTGCTTTTCCACTAGAGGTGTCGACGGGTCTGATGTAATCTGTGTACGAGGACTTCAAGCAGGCGACGGGCCGAGGCGATGACGAGCGGTCGGTGGTTGCGTGATTGGAGTTACTAGGGCGTAGGTGGCTTTCGCTGAAGCGTTTGTGGCTTTCACTCGTGCGTATCCGGTCTTCACTTGCGCGTATACGGCTTTCGCTTAGACTTGGACGGGAGTTTATGAAGGATATCGCATCGCAGCGGACTGATGGGCGACGAGGAGCCATGTTTGGTATAATAGAATCGGCGAGGTGGACAGATGGGGGCAGTGTGTAGATAACGTGAGGTAAGGATAGGAAATCATTCATGTTGTACAGCCATCATGCCACATGTCCAAACGCTCATATTAAACCCCAACTACACCAACGCAAGGACCACATCTCTCCGTCAAATCACAGTCTGTATCATATATTAATATCTCCGATCTTCGTTTGACCCGCTGGTTTGGAAATGAACGCGTGCGTGTCCACGTCCCTACACACCGACACACCGGATCGTGGCTTCTCAGAGACACAGAATAGTGCCTATTCTTAAGTCAGGCGTATCTTCGTTTGCCTATCAGCGTAGTCAGTCTCGTCTGTTTATCCCGCATGGGGTAAGACAGACTACATGGTGCCCGGTTCTGCCACATTCTTGCATGCGGCATGTGAAACAGCAAGGGCGGGCCGTTGATCGTTCACCCCAGGCGGGATGCCTTTCACAATACACGTGCAAAACGTCGCTGATCATCTGGATTGGCCACGTTGAAGTTTCGGTATTTATTGCTGGGTTTGGTGGTTCTTGTGTTGATCGAGATGGACGGGATGCGTTCATGTTGGGATGGAGATCTGCTATCACTTTTCTTTGTTCTCCCATTAGACTACTTTGTCAACTTGCGACGTGAATGGTGGGTGTTTGCAGAACTCGAGTCAGTCAAATTGAATTTGATGTGATATTGGATTGCTTCCTCATTTACAATCGTGATCCTATCTTCAGGTGGTCGTGGCCGCCTACAATGGCACCGCCGCACCGTCACCGCGTAGATCACTACCTCCACTCCAGACCTGCACACCGTCGTCTACGTGTCGCCGGATGATCTGACCTCGACCAAACATACCACGTCCGTAGCCGTCCAGTTGTTTGACATTATGACCGAGTGCTCGCAGCTCCTCTACGACCTTTTGGTCGATACCCTCCTCTAGGTAAATCGTCGCGTCGGTCATCTTGCCGTCAGCGCTAGGCATACCGGCTCCGATACAGAAGCGTGGTGAGTCCAGCGCAGCTTGTGGGTTGAGTTTGAAGACTTCTTGGTTGAGGAGTACCTGTACGTGACCCTGAGGTTGCATGAAACCGCCCATGACGCCGTACACGGAGTGCAGACTACCATCGTTGATGTATGTTGTCAGGCCAGGGATGATAGTGTGGTAGGGACGCTTTCTAGGTGCCAGTACATTGGGGTGGTCTTTGTCGAGACTGAAGTTTGCACCTCGGTTTTGCAGAGTGAAACCGCAGCCTTTGGGAATGATGGCAGTACCAAACCCGCCGTAGTTGCTGTTGATGAAGGAGATGGCGTTTCCTTCAGGGCCAGAACAGCAGAAGTAGACAGTGTCGCTTTGCAGATGTGCTGGAGAACCATGGACAGGCGCTGAGATGGCCTTCTTTTGGTCGAACAACTTCGCACGCTCGGCGAGGTACTTCTCCGAGATAAGCTCGGCAGACGGCACTTTGACGACATTTGGGTCTGTGACGAACCAATGGGCATCACAGAAGGCGATTCGCAATGCTTCGATGACAGTGTGGAGATATTGGGTGCTGTTGTGGTCGTTCAGGCTCCACTTTGGAATTTTCTTCTGCTTCTCCAGTTCCTGGATAATTCCGAGGGCCATCAAAGCGACGATTCCTTGACCGTTTGGTGGATGTTCCCATAGCTCGATACCGCCGTCGGGTCGCTCTCCAACACCTTGGCCTGTGTACTTTAGCGAGATGGGGTCTACTGGCTCTGTCCCGGTTTCTGCATGGTGTTTGAGATCGTCTAGAGTGAGATAGCCACCGAGATCTTGCACTACTTTAACGAGCTGCTCGGCTACTTCGCCCTCGTAGAATCCTTTCTTTCCGTGCTTGGCCAATAGCTTGAAGGTATTGCCCATGGTGGGGTTCTTCATGATTTCTCCGGCTTTGGGCGCTCTGCCATCCTTGAGCATCTCGCGCCCGTTGGGCGATGCTTTCAAGAGGTCCTTTTCGCTCGCTGCCCACTGCAGAATGTCAGAATGTCACCTGTTCATGAAGCGTTGCAATACTTACGAATGTTGCTGATAACTCGGAGACTGGGAAACCGTTCTCCGCGAGATCGATGGCGGGCGCGAGCACGTCCTCCATGCTGACCTTTCCACTACCAAATCGCTCAACACAGTCGACCCATCCTGCTGCTGCGCCAGGCACTGTCGCGGCATGTACATGGTCCATGGGAATCTGGCCGCTCTGGCCTTCTGCGATGTTGAGGTCTTTCCTGACCTTGTCGAGAGTGACATTCGCGCCACTCCGGCCGGAACCGTTCATGGCAGATACCTTCTTCGTCTTCGCATCGTAGTACAGACAGAACATATCACCGCCGATGCCCGTTGAGCCCGGCTCTGTGACATTGATGGCTGCCGCAACGGCCACCGCAGCATCCTTCGTAGCGTTAGCATAAGATGGAAGTGGTGATGGATTACGTCATACTGCCGCATTACCACCTTTCCTTAGGATCTCGATTCCAGCAGCGGCTGCAAGTGGCTGCGTACACGACACAATACCCTTGGTGCTATGTACGACTGAACGTCGACTGGGGAAATGAACGAATTGGGGCTCGGGATGTGGGTAGACATTGCGGGTATTCGAAGTCGTGTTGTTATCCATGCTGACTTTGGCGACTTTGGTGGGCCGTTCTTGCTCAGGCTCTTGTTGGGGTTTAGATCTCTTGCTCCGTCGTGGGGTAGGCATGGGGACTTGATTGTGAAGCTTGGAGCTATGAGTGGGGTACGGGCAAGCTGCTATGGTATACCTAGGTACCTAAGTAGTCTCCAACGGTTATCCCCGGAGATGGTTGATGCCGTTCAACGTGCCGATTTCGCTCGATAATCCCTCGGGACATATCGCAGCGTCCCCGCCTATCTCCATGACGTCTCCGTAACAGGAAGGTGATAAGGCGGTGTAGTCCGCTTTAATCTGCCGGGGTGAGGGTTATTATCACGTGCACCCGTTCCGAGCCGATCGGAACGCGCCTTGGACATGGAGAAATTCACAGATTGGAGCTTGACGCAACTCGACGATGCTCACAACATCATGGATATGCCGCAATTGTCTGTCGCGCATTGCTCGCCCGTTCATAAATCGCAGTATTCGGCTCCAGAGTAGTGGTGTGTATTGAATGCGTCCGGCCTGGCCCAGTCGCTAATATCGCATAGCTGCGACATCCGAGTCCATACCCCCAGCCCTCCTCACAAGAGCCCGCGCAATCGTTTCCGAGCACAAAGAATTGACAGAAAAGCTCTCCAATGGCTTCGACACGCGAGCGGCGAAGAAGCTCGGCGAATACAGCCCGATCGTGAATGCGTTGGGTGAGTGGGATAAGGCCAACGAGGTAAGCAGGATATCGCAACCAGCAGGAGCACTTCAGTAGCTGATATGGACTAAGTCTGTGACAGAGCTCACATCGATGATACACGACTCCTCGACCGATCCCGAACTACGATCACTCGCTTCCGACGACCTTGGAGAAACCCGAACACAGCTCGCCAATGCTTCACAGAACCTCATCACCTCTCTGGTGCCGGTACATCCGTTTGCACACCTCCCATGTCTTCTGGAAATACGGCCTGGCGCAGGCGGATCAGAGGCAGCTATATTTGCCGGGGACCTCTTCCGCATGTACTCAGCCTTCTGCAACCGCAATGGCTTTCGCACAAATCTTCTCAAGTATGAGAACATAAACGGCACGACTGAAGCTGGGGTACCGCTATCAGAAGCCATCATCGAGGTGGAGAACGATGGCGCATATGGAGTCTTCCGATGCGAAGCAGGCGTACACAGAGTGCAGCGCGTGCCTGCCACTGAGGCCAAAGGACGTACACACACGAGCGCGGCATCCGTACACGTGCTACCTAGTGTACAGGAAAACTCTGCAGAAGAGCAGGACTTCGAAGACCCTGAGAGCGACTACTACATCGACGTAAAAGAGGTCAAACTAGAAGTCATGAGGGCAAGCGGTGCCGGTGGCCAGCACGTCAACAAGACCGAGTCAGCAGTTCGGCTAACGCATATCCCAACAAACACGGTCGTCGCGATGCAAGATTCTAGATCCCAGCACAAGAACAAAGAGAAGGCATGGGCGCTTCTGCGCTCGCGTATCGCCCAGTTAAGACGCGAGAAACGCGAAGAGGAGATGGCCAATATGCGACGAAGCGTTATTGGCGTGGCGAAGATGGGCCGCGGTGACAAGGTGCGGACCTACAACTGGGGGCAGCAGCGCGTCACCGACCATAGGAGCGGAACCACTGTGCATGATTTAGACGATGTAATGGGTGGTGGCCAGACGCTTGAGAAGGTCATGGAGAGTGTCCGCAGCTGGCTCATGGAGCGAGATGTTGAAGCCTTGATCGCGGATGATGCTGGATCGAAGGATAAGAAGTGAGATGCAGAGGTATGTCCGGACAGAGATGACCTTTCTCATCCGGTATCCGTGTTGCACAGCATGTACGAAAAGCACCTGAAGAGCAGGCCCGTGGTACTACATCGCCGAATCAGCGCTCAACACAAAGCAGGGCCCTCTGCATAGACGTACGCTGTCGGATGCATTCATGCGAACTGCCTGAACCGCACCGCCGGAATCGCGAATGCAAATGGTTTCAATCGAGCTACACCCAGTACTTGTTTTCGTCTCTGTTCCCAACGTGACTGCGGCAGCATTCATGAGAAGCCTCATTCTGTCTAACTAAACAGTATAGTCGTCTAATGAATACCTCGTCTGGTGGATAAGATAGGCTTGCGAACTGCATATAAGCTACTAATCAAACCTCACCGGGAGCATGTTACCGTCTGTACGCCGTCTTTACCACAACGCAACCTGCACACCAAATCCGATCTATCCAGGCCCGCCACCAAAAACAAAAAGCTCGTAGCTGAGCCGCTCGCCAAGTCCATAGGGCCCGATTCCCACACTGCGGGGTACATGGAACCTTTTCCCGGCAACGATGCTAGCCACAAAGGCCTCTTCCTCACGATGTCGCTACAATCGAGTCAGTCTAACCATGCGCCACCTTCGATCCAAAATGGGCCCAGATCGTCACATTGCTGAAACGTTCGTCAATTCCCCGCACTCAGTAGCTGCAAACTACCCCAGGTTTCGCTTGTGCTAGTCACTGGAAACAGTTCGAGTGGGTCGAATGTGGGCTTGGTACGCGCCTACTGGATCGCTACTTGACGTTCACTGCATCTTTGAGAGGCCAAGCTGAATTGATAGGAAGACGTTTTCAGGAATGTGGGGTGCGTTTGGTATCGGGATGTGGGAGGGATTGGGGATATAGGATAGTTGTTATCCCGTTACTGGGGGTAGACAGTTGCAAGCACCTTGTCTCTTCCTTTCAAAGTCGCAGTACTGAATCAACAGAATTCTTTTACTCAGCTCGCTATATCATGGCTTCAGATACCATCCAACCGGACTACGAAAAGGAGAAACAACAAGTCAGCCATCATATCGAACATGCAAACCCGCATCATGCTACAGACTTGTCGCTGGAGTCACAGCATGACCAAACAGAGCAAGGCGTGGATATGAACAATGCCCACGCACTCAAAGGAGATGACTCAGATGGCAAAGTGGAATGGAGTGTGCGTAGCATCTTCGCCGCCATCTTCCTCGCCGCATTGTACACTGGTACGATCCCTCCCTCTTCATCCCATCTCCACCCCATCTCCACCCCATCTCCACCCCAATCAACCCGAAACTAACCCACCCCAGGCTCCCAAGTAATCCTCTACTTCGCCGGCGCCTCCCTCTCCTTCATCGAAGCCGATCTCAATCTCGACCGCGGCTCAGCCTGGCTGCCCACCGCCAACATCCTCGCCATCGCCGCCGTATGCCCCTACGCAGGCTACCTCCAAGACCTCTTCGGAAAACGCTACATCGCCCTCTTTGGCTCCTTTTGCATCTGCCTCGGATGTGCGTTGATGGGCAGTGGACAGAATTTCGGACAGCTGTTGGCTGGCATGGCGATTTCGGGGGCGGGGGCTGCGACGGGGGAGTTGACTGGTCTTGCTGGGTAGGTTGTGTTCTTTCTTCCCTTTCGTCTGTTGTCTTCTGTTCTAGTTTCTTCATCCACTGGTTCAGTTGCCACGACCGCTAGTTATATCAATCCCTACTAACAAACACCCCCACCCCAGCCTCGCAGAAGTCGTCCCCGTAAAATACCGCGGCTACTCCCTCGCCCTCGTAACCGCCTTCGTCCTCCCCTTCTGCCCCTACCTCCTCTACGTAGAACTCTGGTCCCACTCCGGCACGGGCCCAGGCTGGCGCTGGGGCCCCTGGGTCGCTTTAATCTTCAACGCAATCGTCGGCGTCGGCCTCGCCTTGACCTACTTCCCCCAGCGCCACACCAACAACGACCCCACCTACTCCCGGAAAGCGATCCTGAAAAGAATAGACTATGTAGGCGGTGTATTATCCATAACAGGCCTAACCCTCTTTCTCGTCGCCCTCCAATCAGGCGGCTACACACACCCCTGGACCTCTGCATACGTCCTGTGTACCATGCTCATCGGGCTCTCCCTCATCCTTACATGGATTTTCTACGAAGCCAAGTTCGCAGCCCATCCCATGGTCCCCTCTGCCCTCTTCTCTGGGCAAAGGATAGTAGGGCTGGCGTATGTCGTTGCGTTTAGCGCGGGCATGAATTTCTTCAGCATACTCAACTTCTTCCCCATCACTTTTAGTAGCGTTTACAGCCCCGTTCCTGTTTCTATTGGACTGAGGGGCTTGGGACCCGCGCTTACGACGGCAGTGGGCGCGATATTCTTTAATGCGGCGCTATCTAGGTTTCCGGGGCATACGAGGGAGGTGCTGCTTGTGGCTGTGGGGATTATGACAAGTTTTGCTGGGGCTCTGGCGGTTATGACGCCAGACAACGAACGCTTGGTGCTGTTTCTGGGATCCATGGCGGGGTTTGGTGTAGGCGGCGTCCTTGTTCCCGCTGCGACGGTTGCGATGCTGGTCTGTCCGGATGCGCTTATCACAACGGCTGCGGCGTTGTCGCTGTCGATCCGCACGGTTGGCGGCAGTATCGGGTATTCGATTTACTACAACATTTTTGCTGGGAAGCTAACTGCCAATCTACCCAAGTACACGGCGTTGTTTGCGGTGCAAGCTGGTTTGCCGCTGGAGAGTGTGGAGGCTTTCGTGGGCTTGTTTCTTACGGAGCCGGAGAAGTTGGCTACGGCGGGTATTGCGGGTGTTACGCCGCAGGTTATTGAGGGTGCGACGATAGGGACGAGGTGGGCGTATAGTGAGAGTTTGAAGTATGTTTGGGTGAGTACGAACAGCTTTCTTCTCATTTCATGGTCATCATCCCCTTTATACGTACTTTCGGTTCGGCAAGAGGAGGAAGATGTCTGCGCTTCATCGGTGCACATGAGCTGTTCATCATCCTTCGGCGAGAAAGGAGACATAGTTGAAGATCTCTCCAATGGTTGCTCATGTACCACGGAGCTAACGTTGGTGGCATTTAGTTCACGAGCATCGCTTTTGGCAGCATAGCAATAATCTGCACGCTCCTTCTACCCAGCACGAAGAAGTACCAAACAAACCGCGTAGCCGTCCGAATCTGAGACAATACCTTCAGAGTACTTAGCTTCACACTTTTTTTACTAGTTAGCTCCATTTTTCATCACGATACAGATTCAGAGTACACACACACATCTCTACTGAGACCATCAATTTCTATCTACTACTTGGTCAGTTCATCACATCACAAAGCACAGTGACCAGCAAAGAATAACCGTTAGACAAAACATCCTCATGCAAGGTATTCAAAGATAATGAATCTATGGTATAAAGGGTTTACGCAAAACAGTACGCAAGCAGCGAAACAGAACCAAGCGACACCCATCTCTAGACGGCCAGTTCAAGTGCATGATTCAGTTCGGCATGCATCTCATCCCATCTTATCCATCCCTTTCCTTCTTGATCATTGCACACCACATGTTGTCGGTGGTTGGCGGAACACATCATCAACCTTCCCTCCCCCCGTCCACACATAACGCGACGCCAAAAACACCGCTTACCATCCCATCAATGATAGCCACCCAAATCCATCTCAAACTCATACTCCACCCTCTCCCCCCTCTCTACCCTTTCTACCCCCGCACTCCCACCCCCACTACCGCTGATTAAAGAACCAGCTCGTCCGCTTCCCCTTATTCGCATCCCCCCCATCACCGTCCTGCTTCTGCAGATTGCCAATGACAGGGAGGACAGGGCCGTCCGCGACGGGTCCACCACCGCCGCCACGAAGCGGTTTGGCGATGCGGGACCCGACGCCGCCGAAGCCAGCGTAAGATGCGCCGCCAGCGGGGGAACCGAGACCGCGGGTGGAGCCCGCTTTGGCGGACTCGAGGCGCTCTTTGACGGCTGTGAGTTGGGCTTCGAAGCTGGCAAGGAAGAATAGTAGTTAGTATGCTGGGTGGTTTGTGAGGAGGAGGGGGCAAGTTACCGGTGATTCGCAGCTGTGAGTTTCTCCTGGGAGTCTTGCAACAAGCTTTCTAGAGACTGTATCCGCTCATTGCGGGCCATGAGTTTGCGCTCGGCGATGGCGACTTCCTTCTTCAGGGAGCTGTTTTGCTCGACGAGCTGGCGCTGGACGACGGTGAGTTGCTCGAGGTTGCGCTCGAGGAACATCATCTTCTTCTGCTGAGCGCGGTTGTTGGAGGTACGGAGCACGTTGTTATACTGCTCGCGTGTCTCGTCTAGCGAAATCTCAAGCTCGACAACCTGTGGCTTATTAGCAATGCGTCTTCGTTTGAGAAGCTCAGTCTGCTCACTCGTTCACAGCGGTTCTGGAGATCGCGCATGAGGCTCTTCTTCATGTTGTCAAACTCGGCAATCTGCTGTTGCACAGTCTTGCCGTTGATGCCGTTGGCGACACCGTTGGCAATAGCGCCACTCTTAATGCGCTGTTGCAGGCTTTCGTTCTCGGCCTTGAGCTTCTGGTTCTCTTCCAGCATACGTGCAGTATCCTGCTTGAGACTTTCGACAAGTTCGAGGTTGCCTTCTTGTCGGGCAGAGTAGGCGTCGGCAAGGCGTGCCTTGAGCTCCTCCTTGTCTTGCTCTGATAGGTTGCCTTCGAGGAGTTCCTCGTACTGCGTCTGCAAAGTCTCGCAGCGTGCCTCCAGTGCTTCACGACGCTTGGCATATGTGTTGTCCTCCTCACTGCGGGCAGTAAGGGAGAGCTCGGCCTGTCGTACAATGCCCTGTGTTTCGACAATCTTCTCCCGCAGGCCCTTGATCGCATCCGGAGCAATCGCCTCGCCGGCTGCGCTCATGTCGTGGAGCTGGTCTAGCTCCTCTATGATCTTCCGTATCGTACGCTCGTTGTCACTGAACACCTCGCCGCCGAGATCGAAGCCGGCCATCATTTGTGC